CGCGGAGCAGGGAGCCCGATGCGGGGCTCGATCCCAGGACCCTGGGATCATGACCCGAGCTGAAGGCAGACACTTAATGACTGAGCCACCCAGGCACCCCTCCCTCAATGTCTTTGTACACACTGTCCCTCTGCCTGGGATGCTTTCTGCTTACTTCATCCTCAGTCATTTCTACTCATCCTTTAGATCTCAGCTCAACACCACTTCCTCAGGGAAGGCCTTTCTGCCTTCCATTTTAAAGCAAAGAACCCTATAGTTTTCCTTCATACCACTTACTACAATTTAGATAAATGATTAATTAATTACGTGTTTAATGTCTGTCTCCCCTGTTGGACTTGGACTCTAAGCTCTATGAGATCAGGGACACCTCATCTTGCTCACTACTGTATCCCCAGCACAGACAATAGTGCTTGATATATTGAAAACAGGGGCTCAGTACTTTTTTTTTTTGCTGAATGAATTACAAGGCAAACATTTCATATTCCTTCTACAAACTTCACATCCTTTCATTATCTACACATTTAATGTGGTCTTTTTAAATTTAAATTCTAGTTAGTTGACAATACAGTTCAATATTGGTCTCAGGTGTAGAGTTCAGCGGTTCATCATTTACATTGAACACCCGGTGCTCATCGTAACAAGTGCCCTCCTTAATACCTATCACCCATCTAGCTCATCCCCCCCATCAACCAAAGCAAAGTGACGTGCTTTGCTTGGCTTTGTTCTCTATCATTAAGAGTCTCTCATGATTTGTTTCCCTCTCTTTTTCCCCCATAGTGTATGTTCATCCATTTTGTTTTTTAAATTCCACCTATGAGTGAAATCCTACGGTATTTGTCTTTCTCTGACTTATTTCACTTAGCATTATACACTCTAGCTCCATCAATCCACATCATTGCAAATGGCAAGATTTCAGTCTTTCTGTTGGCTGAGTAGTATTCCATTGTGTGTGTGTGTGTGTATACCATATCTTCTTTATATATATAAATGTATATACACATCATATCTTTATATATATATATAAACACACATATATATACCATATCTTCTTTATCCATTCATCAGTTGATGGACATTTGGACTCTTTCTATAGTTTGGCTATTTAATGTTCTTAATGTCATTTCTCTATGACAGTGTTACCTGCCTTAGGCAATGATCTCTGAGAAGTAAAAACCATAGGTTTTAAGTTGTGTGGTATAGGACCCAGCAGGGTTGGGGATCAGCACTGGGAAAGGAAAGTGAAGAACAGGTTTCCTGATAAATGGCCTTTAATAGCTATGTTATTGCTGTAAAAATCTCCACGGCCTTTTGGGGGCCAGTGTGAAGGTCAAAGAGCTTGGGCCTTACAGTTAGACCCGCGTTTGGATCCCAGTTGTACCATTTCGTATCTGTGTGACTACAGGCAAATTCCTTATCCTCTCTGTTCTTCAAATTTCTCAGCTACAAAATGAGGATATAATAATGGCACCACTATTTAAGGTTGTTAGAGGAACTCAATGACTTGTAAGGCACTAAGAAGAGGGCCTGACCTTAAATGCTCAGTAAATATCAGCCACTCTCTCTCTCTCTCTTTTTTTTTAACCTGTAGTAAAACAAGGTTGCCCATTTCTCATTTGGTTCTAGAAGAAGTTTGGGAATATTTGTGGTGCTGTTAAGTACTCTGTGGGAGGTTAGGATTGGAACACTTAAAAATATAATGCCTCCTCAATTCTTTTCTCTACTTTCAAATCTTAATATTGAACCCGGTAGGAGAGGGAGAAATGGCTGCCAGCTATGTTTTCTTTGGTTCCAAATGACAGCAGCACCAGTCTGTCCTAGAAATTTGTGTTTCTCCTGCTGACACAACCATCCTCATACACCCTTTGCCAGAGAGATGAGCTGCTAAGAGAGGGCTACTAGTTCAATTCTTGACACTTGGCAATTTGTGAATGCTAGTTTTTTGGAAACTGGAGAACCATCAAACTCCCTTTCTCTTTTTATTGGGACCCTTCTGGTTGATCAGAGGCTACTAAGTATTGGCCATTTGAGAAGCATAATAAAATAATGAAGTTGGAACTACAAGAAATTCACTCATCAAGGGCCCTGTGCTGCTGGGACCCAGAGAAAATATTTCTCATAAGAAAAAATATAAGAAAGATAAAAAAAAGTCAAACAGCTAATCTTCCCTCAAGACACAGTGTTCTCTCAAGGTCTCTTCCTTCTTTTCTGAAGGCACACTCAGTTCTGGAGCGGAAGCTAGGAAAGCAGCTGAGATAAATCGTTTTCCCCTCCCCTTTTAATCTTGTGAAAGAGCTGCCAATTCTAGAAATTCCTCCTTTGATGAGAAGATAAAGTAGAACAATGGTGTGGAACTAAACAGATTCCTAAGCGACATTCTTCTAGGGTGTGTAAAGTCTGCCTGGAAGTGGGGGGGAGGGGAGGAAGAGATGGAAAGCTCTAGTAGGAAGGGTGGGTGGACAAGAGCTGGTAGCCACAGCCTCAAGGAATACAGTTGCTTCTAGGCTTCTCCATAGAGTAGCAACTCTGTCCAGTCTCATTTCCTGGGAGGTGTAGGCATGTTTATTAGAGTGATTGGAGGGCTTCATCCATTTCACATCCACCTTACCAAAAAAAAAAAAAAAAGGGAGAGAAAAGATTTCTTTCCCATTATTTGTTGGAGGGAAGTTCTACTTACAGCATTTACAATTAAAAAAAAAAGTGTATAGTTTTTGTTGTGGTTATTTTTTACTGAGAATTGAAGCCCAAATCAGTCTACCACATTAGATTGTAAGCCTGTGGAAGGAGCATGTCCCCTTCTCTTTACTGTTTAAGGGACAATCTGCTGTAAAATGCTACAGATTGGAGTCAGAACTGAATTTGAATCCTGCTCCTAGCTTCACTATCTGTAAATGGGGATAATTTTCCTATCTGCTTGACATGATTATGTAATTTTAAAATCAGACATTTAAAGCCTAAACTTTACAAGCATAATCTCATTCAATTCTCATGAGGCAGGTATTATTTTGGAGATTGTATATAAAGATATTTCGTAATGTAGAGAAGAGCCGTGCAGCTGTGAGTTATCATTGAGCTATCTTCCTTACCTGGCTGCTGAGGATTAAATGAGACACCAATGTGAAAGAGCTTTACGCAATCCACGTGATGGGCTAAAAACACGCCCCACAGCACCTGATCCACCGTGAGTAGTCGGTAAATGATGTCTGGAGTGCATGATTTTCTATCTTGCCTGTTCCTTTCAGTTTTCCAGTCACAAACTAACCTCGCCTTGGCCTGGGGCCAAAACCACGAATTTGGGAACCACAGCCAGGCTGGAGGAGACTGCTGAGTCCCTGGAGAGGGCACGGGAACAATACAGTACTTCGGTGGTTGGCGGACGCCCGGCCGGAGAAGTGGCCGGCTGGGGTCCCCGAAGGTACACCCCCACCCCCTGGTCTGGTGCTACAGGGAGAGACGTCCTGAGGCCACCCGGCACTGCCCAGGGGAAGCGGCAGCCAAGCCCCCACTACCCGAGCTCTAGCCTCGCGGGACGCGCCCAAGCCCCGCCCACTACCTCAGGTAGGCCGTCTGTACCAGCCAATCCACCAGAAGCCTGGGCGCGGAAGGCGGTGCTTCCCTGGTCGGAAGTGACGTGCTTTGCTTGGCTGGCCGCGGAGTCCGCCGAGACTCTTGGCGGCGGCTGAGGCGGCTGGGAGGGAAATGGCTCGGACCGCGGCTGCTGCGGCGGCTCGGTTTGTGGTGGAGACATAGGCTCGGGCAGCGTGAGGTGAGGAGTGGTAGGTGCGGCGGAGGCCGGTACCTGGGACCCTGCTGTCCAAGGGCAGCGAGGGACCCCGGGGAGCCCGGCTGGGAGGGTCCCTTGCTGCGGCCCCCAGTCCCCGGGTGTTCGCCTTTGACCCCCTATCTGGTACTTTTGGCGTTTCCCCAGCGGGACTCACCTCCCCGGGCCTTGCTTCCACCCAGACCGTTTCTGACAGCCCCGCCTAAGGTGCGACGGGCCCGCGCCCCCATTAGGCCCCTCTTGGCTGGGGCTGGGAGGTGGTGCGCCTGGGAGTTAGTTTTGTCCCAAGGGGGAGGGGAGACCACCCCCTTGTCCTTTGGTACGGGGCCGGAGTCACTGTGGCCGGTTCTATTCTCTTGTTGAATTGTTAGATTCTGGCGAAGTGTGTTGCACTTCTCAGTTGTGTAACCCCCCTCCCCCCCCACCTCCTTGTCCCATCTCCAGCTTTTGGGATAATGATTTTTTTCTTCTCACTTCTCCCGGTTTGCCTTTTTGCCGCGAATCCACTTGATTCGGGAAAACTATTATTTAAGTGTGTGTTTAACGCATCATCTTTCCGGGAGTGCAGTCAGATTAAAAATATTTGCTTAACTCTTCGTGAGTGACAGAGGAACAATACATAATTGAAGAAAAAAGTACATATTTTCCTAACTAAATGGTTTGGCTTTAAAAAGGAGATTCTCTAGCTGTGGAAATTTTTTCGGGGGGAGCAGGGATTGAGGAGGGAAATGAGGAAGAAAACTGAGGAGGAAAGTCTAGGGATAAAGAACGTGGAAGAGAGAGCCTGTGGTAGTTCCTTCCCTTCTGTTAATTAGCCTGATAGAAGCTGAGGTTGTAATTATATTTTTATTTTGAACATTGAGTGTTGAGAGTAAGGAAGGAGGTCTTCGTCTTTGAACAAGATTACCTATTAAAGAGGTACCCTAAAATCTTTCCAGGTGGGTGTCAGAAAAGCTCTGCTGGGAAAATTGTTTAATATATTGGAGTATCAAAGTCACAGCTTAGAAGAGATGTAGGAAAAAGAAAGCTATTAGAAGAGCTGTGAAGAGATAGTATAAAGGGGAAGGCTGTTTGGAGGTCCGGGAACGCTGATTCCAGAAGAGACTTTGTACCTTTGCCACCTTGGCTTGTGATTAAGTTTCTACAGGAGGCTCCTTTTAGCATTGTACCGTACTCGGTGTTAGTGCTCTTATTCACCATGGCAAATTAGACCTAGTTGAGGTCTATACAGTTCCTAGTTTTTTGTTTTTTTTTAAAGATTTTATTTATTTTTATTTGAGAGAGAGAGAATGAGAGACAGCACGAGAGGAAGAGGGCAGAGGGAGAAGCAGACCCCCTGCTGAGCAGGGAGCCCGATGTGGGACTCGATCCCGGGACTCCAGGATCATGACCTGAGCCGAGGGCAGTCGCTTAACCAACTGAGCCACCCAGGCGCCCCTATACAGTTCCTAGTTTAATAGTAAGACCGTTTTTGAGTACTGAAAAGCATGTTGCTTGCAGTTTTTCTTGGCAAGCAGTGTATTTTAATGTTTTCATCCATAGGTTTCACAACCTTTTCACAACATCAAAGTTAATGTGCTTGCATTTAGGAGTTAGAAACTATAATATATATTATATATATAACTATAAAATTATAAGTAATTAGCTGTATATTAAGCATCTGATTCTTTGTTTCTCCCTTCTGCCATGAATGGTTCTAAAATTTTCACTTGAAGATTGTTGCATCAGTTCCATGTCCAGGAATCTTTCTTTAATCTAGCGCAATGTTTTTGCACTTGTAAGCACATTCAATAAGTGAACTTATACCTAACGAGGGTGTTGAATTTCCCAAGAGTTCAGAGTTCTTATCAGAGCATCAGACCAAACTTTTCAGAGCAGCTGTGCAAAGCACTTTTTTTAATGCTTTGTAACTTGTTACTTAATTTGCTAACATAAATTATCCATTTTATTATATTTCTCATGTTTCAAGAATAAATTAAGGCAGGTAAAAGTATCACCTGTGATACTACCAAGCAGTAAGATATTAAGCAAGCTGCTTACTTTGGTATCCATTTTTTAATTTGAGATTTTATATCTAAATAAATGCTGTCCAGTAGAAATACTAAATGAGAGCCACATATGTAAGATATTTTACTTTTTTGGGGGGGGGTACATCTTTGAAATCTGGTGTCCATCTTACACTTAAAACGCATCTCACTTTGGACTAGCCACATTTCAAGCACTCAGTAGCTGCTTGTGGTTAGTAGCTACGATATTGAACAATGCAGATATACAGTATGAAAATTCTGCTTTTCTATCTTGGATTCCTGCTTGAAAAGGAAAGGCAACTCTTATGAGAAATGTATTACCAGTAATTGATAATTTCTTATCATTTTGATGGTATTCAGACGAATCTTTTTTGATTGGAATTATGGTCATACTTGGGAATGATTGCTATAGGATATCTTTCAGGTTGTTCACAGGCTTAAGGTTGAGACTAGAAGAAAAATTGTTTTCCCTGTTCTCTGCTGGAGTTACAGTTTTGATACCTTTATTTTGTACATTTACGTATATGTTGTATCCCTTCTTTTTGTCTGCAATCTGTTATTTACAAGTGATGGATTAAAAACACAATGGGAGCGTGCACATTGACCTTTTAGGCAGTTAAAAAGGAGTAGGGGTGCCTGGGTGGTTCAGTCGGTTGAGTGTCTGCCTTCAGCTCAGGTCATGATCCCTCGATCCTGGGGTTGAGTCCTGCATCAGGCTCTCTGCTCAGCGAGGAGTCTGCTTCTCCCTCTCCCTCTGCTGCTCCCCCTGCTTGTGCTTTCTCTCGCTCGCTCTCCTGCTCTCTGTCAAATAAATAAAATCTTTTTAAAAAATAAATAAGGAGATTTGTACAATTTTAAACTACTTTTTGGGTTTCTTAAAATTTTTAATTTAGCTATTTGGGTACAAAAGCAAGTGGGATTTTTTTTTTTTTAAAGGTTTTATTTATTTGACAGAGAACACAAGTAGGCAGAGCGGCAGGCAGAGAGAGAGGGAGAAGCAGGCTCCCCGCTGAGCAGGGAGCCTGATGTGAGGCTCGATCCCAGGACCCTGGAATCATGACCCAGGGTGACTATAAACGAGCAGCAGAGTAATGTTAGTTCCTGTTGTGAAATGAGTAGGGATTTGATAAGGAATTTGAGTATGAGAAGAGAAAGGAATAGGCAGTGTTAGGAATATTGGTTAAAAAAAATTGCAGTATGGGAAATCCTAATTGAAACAGGCTATTTTTTTTTTAAATTATTTTCCTATAAAAACAGAAGTTGGTTTATCTTCAGAAAATATCAGTGGTGGCAGGGAGACATTAAGTATTAAAGTTCTGTTATGGGGCTGGCTGGCTAAGTTGGCAGAGCTTTTGACTCTTGATCTTGGAGTTGTGAGTTCGAGCCCCATTTTGGGTGTGGAGCCTACTTAAAAGAAAAAACTATTTAATAAAGTTTTGTGGAATGAGAGGGAAAAGCAAAGACAAAAGCCTCTTTCAAGATAAAAGGGCAGGGAAAATGAGAGGAGACAATAGAGGGAAATCAATGCAGGTACTTTGCCTTCTGGTGAGGTTGGAAAAGAATGTGGATGTTGGAGTGATAGACACGGAAAAAAACACCTGTCTAATTAGGAAACAGGAAAACATTTTTTCAGATGTTTTATGTGCAGTTTAGGGAATTATGCGAAGCATGTATTTTCCCCCCAAGATAAGCTCTAAAGGAGACCCAGGTATACTTATAAACAAAACCATAGTGCTGTGAGTATCCGTAACCAAGTTGCTTTATTAAATCCCTTTATATGTGTTCATAACGTGATTTATAACTGTTCTGACCTCTCTTTTTAGTTTAGTGTGTACATATCTTTTAGACTACAGTGCTGATTTGGGAAAAGGTGGTCTTTGGCTCCAGGGAATGTAGCCTGGATCTTATAATGACATCTATCAGACTGGAATTCTGCCTGTATTGAAATGTATGACATGACTCTGTAACTATTTAGAGCCTTTTTTTTTTTTTTAAATCAGGTTTATTGTGATATAATTTAGAATAAAATTCATTTGTTTTAGGTATCAGCTCTAGGAGTTGAAGAGAGTGACAGCGTTTAACTGCCACCACCACAATTAAGATACAGAATCTATCACTCCAAAAAGTATCCTTATTCTCCTTTATAATCAGTCTCTTTCACTTACCCTCCAGACAACTGATTTTTTTTTTTTATTCCTATAGTTTTGCCTTCCCAGAAGTCCTGTAAATTGGCATCATACGGTGTATTCAGCCTTTTTTTTTTTAAACAAATGGTCATCTGCAACTCTGGGGAAGTCGTACTTCCCCCGTTTTTTGTTTTTTTTTTTTAAAGGTGTTTTTGTTTGTTTTTGTTTTTAGTTATATACACTCAACGTGGGGCTTGAACTCACAATCCCAAGATCAAGAGTCACATGCCAGCCAGGTGCCTCAGCCTTTGAGTCTGACTTCTTTCACTTGGCGTAATGCTTTTGAGATTCAATAAAACACCACATTTTGGGGCACCTGGGTGGCTCAGATGGTTGGGCGTCTGCCTTCGGCTCAGGTCATGATCTCAGGGTCCTGGGATCGAGCCCCACATCGGGCTCCCTGCTTGGTGGGGAGCCTGCTTCTCCCTCTCCCTCTACTGTTCTCCCTGCTTGTGCTCTCTCGCTCTGTCAAATAAATAAATAAAATCTTAAAAAAAAAAAAAACACATTTTGTATATCCATTTTTTGATGGACAGTTGGGCTGCTGCTACCTTTTAGCTATTGTGAGTACTGCTGTGATCATTAGTGTACAGTTACTCTGTTTTAATTCTTTTGGGTGTATGTAGGAGTGGAATTGCTGGGTCATATGGAAATTCTATGTTTAATTTATTGAGGAAACACCAAAGTGTTTTCCAAAGTGGCTGCACCATCTTATATTGCCATCAACAAAGTATGAGGGTTTCAGTTTTTCCACATCCTTATCAACACTTAT